AAAACAGAGAAAGAACTGCAAGGTGATGATACAAGGCGACCTGAATAAAAGGTGAAAGGTCATTAAATTATCTTCTCATAACATGGGATTTATGAAACACTGAACAGATCATATAAACACAAAAAAATATAACATGGTGAAAAAAAAAATTCTCGGGTCTTCTTGCAGAAGACAGAGAAAAAAGAAAAAAAAAAAGGAAAAGAAAAAAAGAAAAAGAAAAAAAGAAAAAAAAGAAAAAAAAAAAAAGAAAAACGAAAAAAAACACGAAAAAGAAAGAAAAAGAAAAAAAAGAGAAAAAAACGAAAAAAGAAAAAAAAAAAAAAGAAAGAAAAAAAAAAAAAAAAAAAAAAACGAGATGGTCATCGAACCGAGCAAGAAAAACAAATAAATCCTGTGACTTCATGTCCGAGACTCCAGTTCTTCCCGGAGGAGGAGACGGGATTCCTCGGCCAATTCTTTCGCCAAGCAAAAGATAATCCTCGTCATTTTCTCGACGTCAGCGCGGTCTCGTACATGACTTTTTTCTGCTTCGTTTCCTCCCTCTCTCAAAGTTCTTAGTTTTCCAATTTCTTTCAAAATAAAACATACATTATATTGCGACGTCGTTATAAGATATATATATATATATATATATATATATATATTTATTGCGTTATCTGCAACGTGGTCATTAAAAACATTCGTCCCTAAACTTATAAACATTTCTAATTTCTAATTCTAATCTGCAAAAGTTGATATCGATTTTATTTCTTTATTATTATTATTATTATTATTTTATTATTTTTAGGAACGCGTTTTCAGTTCATGTATTTAATCGACATAAAAGTTTCGATATTTTGAGTAATCCTCGACAAAGGGAAAAGAGTGAGGCAGAAGAATATCATACTGAAGAAAAATAGATGAAATTCTGCACTGAAAGGGTAAATATATAAACAAGTAGATCTCGTATAGATCCTTGGTATGATTATAGAGATGATTTTCTTGTCCAATTTTTTTCGAAAGTGATGAAACCAATTAAGGAAATTCCATTCTCTTCTCTCTCTCTCTCTCTCTCTCTCTCTCTCTCTCTCTCTCTCTCTCTCTCTCTCTCTCTCTCTCTCTCTCTCTCTCTCTCTCTCTCTCTTTTTTTTTTTTTTTTTTTTTTTTTTGTCAGGAAGTTGGCCAGCAGACACAAAGACACGCTCTAGATCATTGGTTCCCGAAGTGGGTGGTCTCGCTCTCTGGGTGGGGGTGGGTGGTGGGGGGGGGGGAGGCGAAAGGGGCGGTAGGGGGGGGGCGGCGACAGCTAAGACCGCTAATTAAATTGCTTTGCTAAATTAGATTTTATTTGTGAAATGCATATTTGTGTTTAATCTTATGTTTTCAATCCGAAGCATATAAATAAAAAAAAAACTTTTCTTTGCATTTGTGTTTGAGGGGAAGCAAAGGAACGGAAATGTCAGGGAACCACCGATCTATTTAGTTTCTTTTCTGTAATCTATTGCATGTAGAAACACAAAATGAGACAGCACTTCTTATATTCGCTTGCTTATTGTATAATGAAACCAAACAAATAGACAGCAATGGGTAGAAGAGAGAGAGAGAGAGAGAGAGAGAGAGAGAGAGAGAGAGAGAGAGAGAGAGAGGAGAGAGAGAGGAGAGAGAGAGAGAGAGAGAGAGAGAGAGAGAGAGAGAGAGAGAAGCCAAAAGCGAAAAATAAATAAAAAACGTGATACAACTGCATTTCAACCAGTCATTGTACTACAACCAATAGTCACATTGAATAACTGAAAACTGGTATTTATATTACTTAAAATTAAACTGGAATACGTGGAACATGCAAAATATTTATTATTTTTTCAAACGAGCCCGTACGCAAACTTTTGTTTTACGTAATAATAACCTAGAGAACAGGTACTAATTTTCATTTTAATTTCCCGCGAGAAAATTTATTTTGAAATATCATGACACTGCAAAGTAATAGTGATTTATAAAATAAAAACATATTTCTGCGCGTTTAAGTTCAAAAAGCGTAACATTTTCTCTCCATTTTAAATGCATTTCTTTTATTTATATTCTGATCCAATGTGTATAACTTTTGTCTGTGATAAAACTCTTTGGGTTTTATTTCACGGACATTGAAAAACACACAACTAGGCCTCAGGCTTACATACTGATTATATATCAGCGCAAATATTAAGTAAATACGGTGTTTGTGTATGTATGTATATGTATTTCTATATGTATATGTACGCAGACACTAACACATACATAAACACACACACACAGACACCCACTAATACACACACACAACACAACA